TGCTTGGGCTGCGCCCTTCTCGTCTCCACCTGCAATGGCCTGGGCCAAGAGCCCTGCCAGTTCCTCTTTAAGGAGAGGGAAGGGCAGCTGTCACAACTAGGCACTGGCTACTTCCCCCAGCGCTCCCCGCCAACCTTCCCACTCATACCTTTCTCCATCAGGTCTCCAGGGCTTCGAGGAAGATTGGTTTCAGGATGGGGGGCCTTGAGTATGGGAAGTTCCGGGGGACTGGGTGGGCATGATTCTGAACCCAGAGCTGGGGGTGAGGTGCCACTGCCTAGGAGCAAAGATGTGGGGTGGGGTGGAGTGGGGTTGAATAGTCTGCAGCCTCTGTCCAGGCCTCTCTGCCCTCAAATTTTTAGTACCTTTGCCTTCTGCCTCTTTACCTCAGCCCATGCCAGGACCTTGCCTCAGGCCACACTCCAAGCCATACCTTCCTTTTCTATCCTTAGCCTTGCAAATCCCTCAGAGCCCCCTGCCAGACTCCTGTTGGTTCTGGAGCTGCACTATGGCTTGTCTTTGGGAACTAGAGTCCTGAACTCTTCTGCTGCCTGGTCCCATCTGTCCCATCCTCCAGAGGCCAGGTCACCTCCTGGTCCTTTCTGCCAGCCAAGGATGCCCCCTTGGCAAATTCTCAGATAGTGGCCCTGCAGTCAGAGTGGCCTCTTCTTGATGCCCTTGGGGACTTTCCCTCTCCTGGCTCCCCCATCAGCACAGAGCACTCTTAGGCTGAATTCCAAAGAAGCCACTGCCCTGGGCATCCTCACAGAGTTAGGCACGCTGCTGTCTCCCTTTCTTACTTCCCACTTGAGACCCAGCCCACTGCAATGGAGGGAGGCAGGGTCCCCATTCAGTGCTGACATGGTTCCTGTGATGGCCTCAGGCCCTTGGTATTCTGAGCTGTCTCTCCACTAAGATAAGCAGGACTCTCCAGCGCCTAGCACTGTGCCCAGCCCTGGCTCCCACAGATCCTCATGGGTCACTTGCACATGCTCGCCTCAGGGCTTTTGTGTTTGCTGCTCCTTTAGCCACATAGTTCATGCCATAATCTTCAAATTTCACTCAAGTGTCACCTTAATGAGGCCTTCCCTGCTACCCTATTTTAAATAGCAACCCTCCTTTCAAGCTCCAGCATTCCCATTCCCACACCACTTAACAAAAGCTTATTTACTATATTGCTTTTTTTTTTTTTTTGAGTTCGAGTCTCACTCTGTCACCCAGGCTAGAGTGTAGTGGCATGCTCACGGCCACCACAGCCTCGACCTTCTGGGCTCAGGCAATTCTTCCACCTCAGCCTTCCAAGTAGCTGGAACCACAGGCATGTGCCACCACGCTAATTTTTTTGATTTACTGTAGAGATGAAGTCTTGCCAAGTTGCCAAGGCTGGTCTCGAACCCTTGGGCTCAGGCAATGCTCTTGCCTCCGCCTCTCAAAGTGCTGGGATCACAGGCATGACCCACCATGCCCAGCTTGTATTTTTTTTTTATATGCCTGCCACCTCTCTAGAAATGCAAGCCAATGTAAGCTCCAAGAGGACGGGACTGGAGGTTCTATTCATGCTAAAGGAGTCCCTGGGACAGAGGAGGTGCTGAACACACATATTCAGTGACTGAATAAACAGACTCTCTCCCCTTCTAAATGCAGAGTTGCCTGGCCTCTCTTACATCACACCATCTGGCTGTCTTCCTACCTCTCTGGCATCTCTTCTGTCTTGTATGTGGGCTGTCTTCTACCTAGGAACCACACATTACCTGGTCCCTCTTTCTCAGTCTCACCTCTTCCATTTAAACAGCTATGGGAGCCAGGTGCTATGGGGTGTGCCTGTAGTCTCAGTTACACAGGAGGATCACTTAAGCCCAGGAGTTCGAAGCTGCAGTGAGCTGACTGCACCACTGCACTCCAGTCTAGGCAACAGAACAAGACCCTATCTCTAAAACAAATACATAAAAACCAGTCATGAAACTCAGTTATTTCTATCTTCTGAGCATCTCTGGAAGCATCCTTCTTCTCTCTAGCCCTATCTGCGCCAACCCATGCCACTATAGAAATCTCTCTCTGATTCTGTCACTCTCCCACTGAATACCTTCCTGTTGCTCTTGAGATAATCTATCTTGTCGCCAGGTGCTGACCATGCTTGCTCTGCCTCTCTACACTTATCTGGTACTCCAGGATCCATATTCTCCAACTCTACTCCTTTTCTCCACTTTCTCCCTCCTAGAAGCCTTCCCAAACAGTGAGGAAGTGGGTCCAGCTTCCCCATCCAGGACTGAGGGGCCAGGCCCACAAAAATTAATCTTCATTTCAAGGGACTGACCGTTCTGTCCCTCCACGGTGGTACCTTGGACCAGGGTTGCCCACCGCTGAGCTTCCTGGGTGTTGAGAAAGTGCAGGCTGAGGGTTCCAGGCCCTCCTGGTGGAGGCTGCAACTCATGCTGGCTTGGTCCTCGGATGATGTAGGAGACTGACTCCAAGGGCCACTCCAAACTGACCTGAGGAAGGGGAGAGCAGGCTCAGAGCTCCTCTCGTCCCACGCCGCATGATGATCAAAAGACTACGAGGTAACATTTATAGGCTACTACAAAGTCCTTTCAAGCCTATTATCAAATCTTCAAAATAGTCCTGTAAAGTAGGTACAAGCATTACCCCCGTTTTACAGACGAGAAAGCAGTAGCAAAGAAAAGTAACTGCTCAAGGGCACCCAGCTGGCAAGCGGATGGGCCTGGCCTCAGGCTCCGCGCCCAGTCTGAGACAAGTCGACTGCCGCACGCCCCTTTGCCTCGACTCACCGCCCCGGGCCCCGCGCCCAGCAGTTCCAGCCGGAAGCGCCCAGGCCGCTCAGGGTCCGCGCTCAGCTGCAGTCTTCGTAGCTGCGCCTCGGCGTCGGGCCCGGCGCCCAGCGGCCTCACTGCGGCGTACACAGCCAGCAGTACCGTGGCCGAGCCCGGGTCCGAGGCCGCCGCCGCCGCCCCGCCCGCGGGCGGCGCCATCTCCGGTCCGTCCCAGCCTTGGCCCTCCGAGCCCGCTTCCGTGGGATCGGAAGGCTGAGAGCCTTCGCCCGCCGGAAACCAAAGATGGAAGCATTGGGTTCCGTGCACGCCGAGAGCGTCGGGCCCCGGACGGGACCGAACGCCGCTCACTGGCCAAGCCTAACCCACCGGGTTTGATCAAGAACGGACTCGGCCTGAGGGCCTCCAGACACCAGCTGGGCGAGGCCGGCGGTGTGCAAAGGCCCAGGAAGGTTGGCAAAGGTGGTCACGTTTGAGCTGGGCATCGGAGGCAAAGTGTCAGAGGCTGAAGCACCGGCTACAACTGGAAGGCAGGCGCGGCTTCTTTGCCCCACAGGGTCGGGCAGACGAAGGTTGCAGCCTGGCAGGTGACTTCTCACAGCGACCAGCTGGAGCCACACGCTGCTCCTGGACTCCCAGGTGGGCGAGTCGCCACCGCAGGCCTCAGGGACAGCCTGAAGTCCCGCCACGCCCACACGGCGCGCTCAACTCGAGCCTATTAGGGACCGGGGTTGGCCTCCGAGGGGTGGGGGAGGTGGGGCGAAGCGGGCGAGGCTGTAGCCAATAAGCGCCAGGAGAAGGCGGGTTTGTATGACGAGAAGAGTGATAGACAGGCCGTACGGCCTGTAGGACCAAAAGGCAAGACTGAGCGGCAGATGAAGTCCCCAATGGCTATTCGAATTCTCGATCCCGGTGCCTGGAGCGGGCCATTCAGAGGCGTGGGGCCGGGCCTGGCGGACGCTTGTTGTTGTCCGGCCGGGGGAGGCGGAGGTCGCTCGCTCGCTCGTTCGTTCGCTTGCTTGCTGGGGCGGTCTGTGGCAGTCGGCGGCAGGTCGGTCGCGAGAGCGGGCGCTGTGCAGGGGGGCGAGGCTATGTCGCGGTGGCAGCCCGGATGGGCCGGCAGGTCCGGGAGTAACGGGACATCGCCGCGGAGCTTCTTCCCCCGGATACAGTGCGTCCCGAGTGGAGGCCGCGGCGCCGCCCTGCGGTCCTGAGGAGCCCGCGCTGCGCATATTCCGCCCTGTCTGCAGACCAGCACCGACACCAAGCCACTCGGCCCGGTCCAGCCCGGCGCGGCCCGATCTATCCCAACCAGGCAGGTGGGTGTCCGCCCTGTGCCCCGCGCCATCTCGGGCCGCCGGAACCGCAGTCCCCAGCGGGCCTCGCGCGGCGCGCTGCCTCCTGGGACTTGTAGTTCCACCGTGGCCCGGCGGGTTCCCAGTCCGGGCGGGCGGTGCAACCAGGCGGACGCTGTGGCGCCCCTGCGGGGCCGAGGGACCTTGCTTCGCCCCTTTGCTACTGAAGAAACTAGCTGCTCTTGCAGAATAGAGTGGATAGCCAATGGGTTTCCTCTCCCTCTTGCTAGAGCCAGAATAGGGGAAGAGTGCCCGTCCAGGTGACCGCAGGGCCCAGAGCCGCAGTTGTCCTGGTTCCTAACCGGGATGTGGGTTCTTACCCTGACTGATGAGACCAGCTTGGTGGGAAGGGGACTGTAGAAGTCACGTCCCTTCGCAGGCTCAAAGTAACCTCTATGGTGGGTGGGGTCTCTTCTTTCTGGATGGGAATGGGTAAAGGTGAGGAAGTCTAGGCCAGCAGCTCCTGGGTGAGCAAGATCCCAGGTGGGTCCCCCAGCGTGGTCCCAGAACCCATGTGCCTTGTAGGGGGTGTGGCTGAGCTGAAGCCTGGAGTTGCATCCTCAGGTAACAGGATCCCTTCACTTTTCCAGGCAGTGCTTGGGAGTATGCTCGGGTACAGAGGGGAGCTGTGTGGAGTCTGGACAGGGGCCAGGCTCAGTTTGCTTAAAAGTGGCTTGGCTTAGGGGATAGGAAGGCTGAAGGCAGAGCCCCCATGGGGTCAGATACCCATGGCTTGGCCTCCTGCGTCCTCAGGCAACACTAGCCCTTCTGGAGCACGGAGTTCCCTCCCCAAGGACATGAAGCTGTTGGAGAACTCGAGCTTTGAAGCCATCAACTCGCAGCTGACTGTGGAGACTGGGGATGCCCATATCATTGGCAGGTGAGGCCCGAGGCTCAGGGAGCTGGCATCTCAGAGGTCACATTGACTTGGCCCCTGAGTCAAACCTGGGGGGTAGCATGCTCCATGGTCCTGCCTGCATCCTGTAGGATTGAGAGCTACTCATGTAAGATGGCAGGAGACGACAAACACATGTTCAAGCAGTTCTGCCAAGAGGGTCAGCCCCATGTGCTGGAGGCACTCTCCCCACCCCAGACCTCGGGCCTTAGCCCCAACAGGTGAGCTGAGGTGAGGCCTGCCTGTGGGGGTATGTGGAGTGGTGGGCTGGGCTGACACTTCTCTCTGTGCAGATTAAGCAAGAGCCAAGGTGGTGAGGATGAGGGCCCCCTCAGTGACAAGTGCAGCCGCAAGACCCTCTTCTACCTGATTGCCACGCTCAATGAGTCCTTTAGGCCTGACTATGACTTCAGCACAGCCCGCAGTCATGAGTTCAGCCGAGAGCCTAGCCTCAGCTGGGTGAGGGTCCATTGGAGGGAAGGGACCCACAGCCATCCCACTGTCCTTTCCCAATTTCTGTGGTCTCTGGGCTCCACCTAGTCCATGCCTGATGTACTGGGCCCCTGTCAACCTGACTGACTTTCCCTAGGTGGTGAATGCAGTTAACTGCAGTCTGTTCTCTGCTGTGCGGGAAGACTTCAAGGCCCTGAAGCCACAGCTGTGGAACGCAGTAGATGAGGAGATCTGCCTGGCTGAATGTGACATCTATAGGTGGGCTGGTGTCCCTGTAGGTGGGCCCCCCAGGTGTGTGTGGCACTTGAGCCCTCACCTATCTCTCATTTCACATCTCACCCCACATCCCCAGCTATAACCCAGACTTGGACTCAGACCCTTTCGGGGAGGACGGTAGCCTCTGGTCCTTCAACTACTTCTTCTACAACAAGCGGCTCAAGCGAATTGTCTTCTTCAGCTGCCGCTCTATCAGGTAGGCACCATCTGCTTCCCTTCTCCCAGGTCACTGTTGGACCCACACAGTTTTTCCAGCTGTGCCCACCTGCTCCTGATTTTGTCTTCCCTGGGCATCCTCCCAGGGACCCGCAGCAGGCCTGGGGTAGGGGGTTCTAAGACTGGTTTTCCCACCTCTACCAGTGGCTCCACCTACACACCTTCAGAGGCAGGCAACGAGCTGGATATGGAACTGGGAGAGGAGGAGATGGAAGAAGAAAGTGGAGGCAGAGGCAGTGAGGGCAGGGCCGAGGAGACCAGCACTATGGAGGAGGACAGGTCTGTGGTAGTGGCCATGACTCAGGTCCCTGTTGGCTGTAGTGGGTGTGCACAGGGGTGGGGGTCCCTCTGCCTGGCCTCAGTGGAGACTTCTCAAGGCTTGCTGTGTGCCAATCTCTGCCCAGGGTACCAGTGATCTGTATGTGATGAGGAGGAGCAGTGGCCCCAGCTTCATCCAGCTTCAACCAATGCCTGGACCTGCCCACCTGAGAGGCCCCAGGGCCTCCCCAGCTGCTGGCCAGAACCCGGCGCTGCCCAAGGCCACACCTGCCTAGCCTTTTGGCTCCAGCCTGTGAATGTCTGCTCACCCTCACAGGCTCCTGCTGTCCATGCTATGGCTGGGTTAGTCAGCATGGGGCGTGTGGGAAGAGTGACTGCCCTGCCCAGATGAACTGCCATAGGCAGGGACTGATGAACCACAGAATTTATTTTTATATTTCTACTGGGCCTGCACACTCCAGCCCAAAGGGCCTATGGCCAGAGGCCCCGCAAGCAGGCTCCAGCGGTCACTGGCTCTGGTCTTGGGCCGGCCCCTGGCGCCTACCTGTACCCCCACCTCACCTGTTTGGCCGCGTGCACTGAGTGTCACTTTGCTGCAGCTCATTCGTTTCCAATAAAAGTTTCTGTGATTTAGTGTGGACCTGGATGTGGTGTGGGGGCGGGGCCTACGGCGTGGGTGTGGCTGGCGGCGTCTGGTATCCTAGCAACGGCTGCTGCTGAGACTAGCTAGATCCTGGGAGCTGTTGGGTACCAGGACCATAGTGGCTGAAATGGAGACGGAAGTGTGGGACGCAAGCAACTACTCTTCAGCAGAAGGCGACAACCTGATTCCAAAAGCAGACTTGTGCGATAGAGATAACTTTGACGTCCCAGACCCTGGGCTGCTCACCGAAAAAAATGGTGAGGGGGCTTGACCTTGCCCCCCAGGTACCCCCTAGGAGGCAGGTCTTCGACAGGCTTGGGTTTCATCCCCAGTAACGAAACTCTCCTAGTCAGTTCCTGATCGGTGGGCAGGGCTCTCGGAGGAGAGCCTCCGCCTGCCCACAATCTCCATGGCTAGGGCCCAAGGTCACAGGTGACAGCGTTTCCAACTCCCACCTGCAGAGTTCGTGGAGGCGCCGCAGTTTTTTACCAGCAGCCAATGGTGGCAAAGCATGACCCTGCGTGCCCGCGCTCGTCAGCTTTGGCTGCTCCTACGCACAGGCCTCCACGACCTCGTGGAAAAGGTGGGGCTTGTTTGCGGCATCTGTCTGGAGGTCTCTTTCCGGATCTTTCACGGAGGGACACCCAGTACCTACTCCACCGGATACGCGTCAATTTCCCTACACAGGAGCAACCCCCTACCCAACCTTTAACTGTTTGTCTGCCCATCCTGACCCGCAGGAGAAGAAAGCCGAGCTGTGCGTCGCGCACTTGACGCACGGGCTGGAGCCACTGCGCCGCCTGGAGGTGGCAGCCGGGTTGCGCTCCGTGGCGCAGGACCCAGTGGGCAGACTCTTCGTGGTGCTGGACGGCATGGGCCTCCTGCACCTGCACAGAGAAGACGGCTGGGCACAGGGGAAGCTGCCAGCCCCTGTGGCGCTTACGGGGCTGGTAGCTGTGCCGGGTCCACTGGGCACTGTGGGACGCTTTGTGGGCTGGGGCCCTGCGGGACTAGCCATACTGGGACCCAAACTCAACCTGCTGTGGTTGAGCAAGCCCGGGGTGGGCAAGGTGCCAGGCTATGAGCCCACCTGCTGCCTACCAGTACCTGACCTAGGGCTGCTGCTCGTAGCTGATATGGGCGGCAATCTGGCGCTCTGGAAATTCCGCTCAGGTGGCCGCCGTCTGGTGCTGCTTGGGTCACCCCTGCAGCCTCCACCAAGCCCAGCAGGCACACTCATGCGTCTGGCTCTGGGGCCTGTGCCTCCCCGTCATGTCCAGCGCTGCTTCGCAGCCTATGGCTCAGCTGTGCTCACCTTCGATCTGCATGCCTGGGCTCTCCTAGATGTGCGTTGGGATCTGCACCAAACGTGAGGAGGGTCTGGGGATCTGGAAACGCGAAGTGGGTCCGCTAGGAAGAGCTGGCCATAGCAAAGGTGCAGGCCACTCACGCACAATGCTGTGCTGAGTCCAATGGGCCTCCCCTATTCCCCAACTGCAGCACCATCTCAGACCTGGCTTACTGCAAGGAGATGGAGGTCATGGTGACAGCTTCCCGGGATAGCACAGTGAAGGTGTGGGAGACTGACTGGCAGATCCGGATGGTGTTCGTGGGCCACACAGGTGCGCCGCGCCTCAGCGGCTCTTGCACTGCGTTCATAACCCTGAATTTGACCCTCTGCCTTAACTAAACAACTCTAGGCTATCTGGTATCTCTGCCGGCTCTGGCCAGGTCTCTCTGTGCAGGCTGCAACCTGGGCTGACAGCTCCTCTACCCTCCGTCCCTGGTACACCCAAGTGATCCGCGTCCCTCCTGCAGGCCCTGTGACGGCAATGGCCGTGCTCCCGAACACGACCCTGGTGGTGTCAGCCTCGCAGGACGGGACGCTGCGCACATGGGACCTGCAGGTGGCGGCGCAGGTGGGCGAGGTGGCGCTGTGCTACTGGGGCCAGGATGCGCGGTCTGCGCACGTGAGCCGTCTGCTGGCGCCTGTGGGCTCAGGCTGGCCAGTGCTCTCCCTGTGCGCGAACAGCGTGGAGCTGTGGCGTGTGCGCGAGCTCTACTCGCCGTTGACGCAGCTGTCCGCTCCAGTGCTCCACCTGCAGGTGGCGCCCGCGTTGCCCGCGCCCACAAACCCGTCGCTACCCGCTCGCCTAGTGTGCGCGTGCGCCGACGGCTCAGTTTACTTGGTGTCAGCGGTGACTGGGCGCACAGTGAGCGCGCTGCTCCTGGAGCCCGATGACTGTGCGGCAGCAGTGGCCTACTGCCTGCCGCGAGAGGCACTGTGGCTGCTGACGCGTGCCGGGCACTTGGTACGCGCCAACGCGGCGCGCTGCCCCATGCGTGTGTTGCACCGCGTGTGTCCACCGCCACACCCAGCGCCGCAGCCCTGCTGCCTGCATCTGTACAGCTACCTCACAGACCCCGACAGCGCATTTGCCTCCTGGGAGATCGTGCGCCAGCACGGGGGCGAGCTGCGCCGCAGCACTATGGCCTGGGCCTGGAAGAACAAGAACCGGTGGGTGCGGGGGCCAGCAAGGGCCAGGCGAGCAATACGGCCCAGACGTGGCAATACGACCCATACCAACAGGCTCCGTCACCGCCTGCAGGTACCTGCCGGTGGTGGGGCACACGGATGGCGCGCTGTCAGTGCTTGAGTGGCTCTCGTCGAAAACCGTTTTCCATACGAAGGCGCACAGCCCCGGCCCGGTCACCGCTATCGCATCCACCTGGAACAGCATCGTGTCTTCGGGTCAGTACCTGCCCTTCTCGGTACCCCACCCGGGAGGCCCTGCCCTGCCCTCCCCTCCCTGAAGGCCCAGCTTGGCTCCCGCCTCCCACAGGCGGAGACCTGACCGTGAAGATGTGGCGCGTTTTCCCCTACGCTGAGGAGAGCCTGAGCCTGCTGCGGACCTTCTCTTGCTGCCACCCAGTAGTGATGCTCTGTGCACTCGGCAAACGTGTTACCGTAGGCTTTGAAAACCCGGACAGCACCACTTATGGCCTGGTACAGTTTGGTTTGGGTGACAGCCAGCGATTTGACCATGGGCCCCAGGACGACCCCGCGGACCACATCACCGGTGAGAGGCAGCGCTGGTGAAGCCCAAACCACCACATTGCTTTGGTTCCTAACCCTGATCCCCACCCCCAGGGCTGTGCTGCTGCCCCACACTCAAGCTGTACGCCTGCTCCAGCCTGGACTGCACCATTCGAATCTGGACTGCAGAGAACCACCTACTGCGGTGGGCTGGGGCCCCAGGGAGGGCTGGACTTGGGGTCTGGGGGCTGCCAGCAGGGCTGTCCTACCTCTGCCCCTCACCAGAGCCCAGTAGCTGAACTGGGAAAAAGGGCCTTTTTCCTGCTGTGCCTCAGTTTCTCACTCTGTGAAGCAGAGGCTGGACTCTGGCTCCTGGATACCCCTCCAGGCTCCTGCAACTGAATGGTGCCCCTCAGGCCCTGGCATTCTGCAGCGACAGTGGAGACCTGGTGGTGGCACTGGGCTCCCGCCTCTGCCTGGTGTCCCATAGACTCTACCTGCCCACTTCCTACCTGGTTAAGGTATGCAATGAGGACAGGGTGGGCAAGATGGGGCTGCTGCAGGCAGACTTGGCCCCCCAGGCCAGGGATGCACATTCCCTTTCTCTGCTCAGAAACTGTGCCAGAAGGCCCCGGACATGGTAGATGACCCTCCACTGCCACTGACCGGCCAGGAGTCACTGACCTCCGCCCAGCTGCAGAGGCTCGCCAACCTCCATGGGGCAGCCAGCCTCAGGTCCCATGCAGGCCTGCTCAGCCATTTTGGAAGCCTCCAACCCACACCTCCTGAGTTGGGTCCTAACTGGGTGCTCCCAGCATGAGGCCTCAGGATTCCCGGGCCCCTCTGGGGTTGCCACAGCCCATCACAGCCCTGGCATCCCCATTCCCGGCTGGTCCTTGTCCCTGCCTCTACCCCATCCCATTGATATGCCACCCAGCATCCCACCTGTGCCTGTCCCTGTCTGCAGTGCGGCCTTGTCTTTCATCCGTCACCGGAGGGCAACACATCAGCAACCAGTATTGAAGGAGGTGGGGTGGATCCTCCTTAGACTGCCCCCTGCCTAGGCTTAGGCCACAAACCTTCAGTTCCTGGGGCAGGCCTGGGATCCTTGTGGTTGCCTGAGCAGCACATGGCAAGGCCCAAGGAAGAAAGATCTGACCTCTATCCCCTACCTCAGGACCTTGAAGCCTTAGTGGCCCGGGACCAAGATCTTCAGCAGCTGAGGATGGGGCTAGTGGTCCCAGCAGCCCGGCCCCCACCCTCCTGGCAGCAGCGCCAAGAAGCCTTTGACAATTACCTACGTCTGATCTATGGCTCTAGCCTGCTGGTGGGTGTGGGGAGTCCCCCAGTCCCAGCCCTGACCTTGACCCCTTCTTTTCCCCTGGGTATCTGACACTGTCTGCTCATGCCACCATCCATTCCCTCATACAAGGGAATGCAGTCTGGAAGGGAGTCCCGGCAGTGGAGTGCTGGGACCCTCCCAGTAGAAAGAAAGAAAGACCTGGAATGTGTATACCCTACACAGAGCTGCCCCCTGTCTTGGGCAGACTGGGGTCAGCACTGAAGCCCAAAGAAGGCCAACAGCCCTGCCCCCACAGGACCTGGGGGCTGTGGGCCAGCACTTCACCTGCTCTCCCCGAGTCACCTTGCCCATACCACCTACCCACCGGAAGGTACACAGCAAGGCATCCCAGGTGAGGCCTCCCATCCTCCCAACCACTGCCCTGCCTGCATAGCCCCTCTCCCACCTCATGACTCCTCTCATGTCCCAGCTTCTGGCCTGCTCCTCCCTGAGCCAACAACTAGGCCTCAGTCTGGATCTGCAACTGCAGTCGGAGCGGCTCCAAGGGAGGGTGATGGTAGCCCTGGACCCACCATCTTCCCTCCTGCAGTACCGGGTGAGGATCCAGGCAGGTGGGGTGCTACCTACCCAAGGGCAGGGCTGCAGAGATGCTGGGGTGTGCATTCTGCTCTGAGCCCTGTCCCATTTCCAGATCCCACTGTTGCCAAAGAGACGGCCCAAGGAGCCTCTCTCTAACCTCGGAGGCTTCTTTCCTGCCACCACACAGCCCTACAAGGTGAGACCCTCCACCCTGGCTCCCTGAAAGGACCTCAGATCCAGACTGAGGCCTAGGGACCCCATTCAGGGGTCCAGGGCTTTCTTTCTTTCTTTTTTGAGTCAGAGTCTCACTCTGTCACCCAGGCTAGAGTACAATAACATCCTCATGGCCACCGCAGCCTCTACCTACTGGGCTCAGGTGATCCTTCTGCCTCAGCCTTCCAAGTAGCTGGAAACACAGGCATATGCCACCATGCCCAACTAATAATTGATTTATTGTAGAGACGAGGTCTCACCATGTTTCTCAGGCTGGTCTCGAACCCCTGAGCTCAGGCAGTCCTCTCGCCTCTGCCTCCCAAAGTGCTGGGATTACAGGCTTGAGCCACTGCGCCTGGCACCAGGGCTTTCAGAACAGATACCAGGCAAAGTCAGAGTCCCCATTGGCTGGATGAGCCTGCACTCCCCTCTCCCCAGTAGAGAAGCTGGGTGGGCAGGTTGCTCATGGAGTTTGTCTGGAAGACCATTTTCCTACAATGACTCATACCAGGTGCCCAGGCAGGCTTTAACCCCTGTCCCAGCATATGCCTGGCACTGTCACCTGCCCAGGTAAGTCAATTTGGGTAGCACCATCAAGCCCTCTGTTGCCCTCTCTCCAACTCCTTCCTTCCTACCCTGTTCATCCCACCTCTGCTTTCCAACCCCACCCCCTAGCTTTCTTAAGACTTCTATGCTCCAGGGCTGGGCTCTGAGTCCTGTGGAGAACATGTGGGGGTGTCAGGGCTCTCCAGGAGCCAGAGGTCCCCCAGGTTTCCCTTCTCACTTATCACAGTTGATGTTCATTGACCGCCTTTCCACTTGGCATCTCAGGGTTCTCTTACCGGCTGTGTTGACAGCAGGGACTGCAAGCCCAGCCAGCTATTGGAGGCCTGGCAAGCAGAGCTAGGCTGGTGGCTGAGGGGCTCTGTGAGGTTGTGAGGTGACCCAGGGTGGTGCCCGGACTGGGAGAATTCAGGTTCTCAGCCACCCTGCTGTGCCTCACTTCCAGTACTGTCCTCGGTCCATTCATTTCCCTGGCTGCGTGCCCAACTCTGTGGTGCTACAGCAGATGTGGCTGCCCTTGGAGGTCAGCGGCCTTGAATCCCAAACCCAGAGGAAGCTTAAGGCAAGGGGTGGGGCTGGGGGTCTTGCTAGCAGGGGAGGGCTAGGGAGGGCTTCGCTGTCCCCACAGCCTACCAGACACTTCTCTTGTGCTGTCCCCTCTGCAGTCAGACACAAGCCAGAATGACTTGTGGCTGTGGCGCCCCAGGGGGTCCTATGCCCAGTGGCAGAGGAAGCTGCTACACTGGCTGTGGGAAAAGCCTGAGGAGGAAGAAAAGGAGGAGGAAGAGCTGAACCTGGAAGCAGTCTGGGTCTCGGCTACCCCAACACTGCACTCTGACCAGCAGCTGGATTCTTGGAAACAGAAGGATCAGGTAGAGGCTTGGGCACCACAGGAGGGACAACTTGCACTGAGACCCAGAGGGGTGAGGCCTGCAGCTACCACTGCTTCCCTAGAGCTCTGCAGACTTGACCCCGGAGACCCAGCACTCACATGAGGCTGTCAGGACCAAGACCTACTTTCACTCCCAGTCCCGCTCACTCTGGAAAAAGCATTATGGGCATCTGCCCAGATTCCTGCATTTTTTCGTCTGCCAGAACTGGTTCAAAAAGCTGTTCCCTGTCTTCACTCTGGAGGTTTGGGGGAGACTGGAACACCTGGGAAGCATGGGCTAGGGTGGGGCATGGGAGAAGGCAGGGGCTCAGCACACTATCCTCAAAGGCATACCCAGAAATGGGTACTGTGGAAGGCCTGTCCTTGCTATTCATGGACCTGCTGGAGGAGGTCACATGGGTGGACCGTGTGCATATCCTATGGGCGCTGCTAAGGCTGCTGCCAAACATGAGCAGCAACCTCCGAGACCGGCTGCAGGGCATCCTCGTGTACTTGCTCAACCTGGACCAGCCTCCCAGCCTCCAGGTGCGCCCTTTGACCCACCAGGACTCCTCCCCATACACATAGCAACCATGCTTCACCCCACCCCCACCCCACTCCCGCCCACCTCAGGACCACACTCAGAAGCAGTTCATCATGCTGGCACTGCAGCTGCTTCTGGCCTGCTCCCTGGAGTTCCACAATGTTGTGCTGGAGCTTATGTCCTACTTCCTCTACTCTCCAGCCACCTGCCGGTGAGTCATGCTCCTGCCCAATCCTCCCTGTCAGCTGAGAAGGCTCTGGCTAACCCACATGTACCTGTCCCAGGCCGGAGCTCAAGAAGCTGCTGGATGGGCTAGGCCTTCAGGACCCGCAGGGCTTCCTGTTCAAGGAGATTCTGACCTGGGTCCAGGGCCCAGACCTTAACTCCAAGGCTGCACTGCGCACACGCTGCTGCCAGAAGCTGGAGGACATGATCCAGCAGCTGCAGGTCTGAGCTGGCAGGAGCTGGGTGGGTTCCCCACAGTGAAGCCTCTTGCCTTCTCTCCTGAGGACAGAGCCTACTGGGGCCAGTCCCTGTTCTGTGCATCTTTGGGGATCTCCCTGCACAGGTGGAAGTCTACAGGGGAGTTTCTAGCTGGAGCCAGGAACAGCTCTGGGGCCTTTTTATCAAGGGAGGGGCAACCTCTGCCTTGGGCTAAAGCCTGGCCAGAAGAGTTTCAGTGGTCATGCAGGGGCTCAAGGAGCAAGGGCCTTCCTCAGTTGGTTATCTCCCCTACAGATGGAAACCTTGCGGCCACCGTCTGTAGCCAGGTTATCCGTCGTGCTGCCCAAGGTCTCCGACACCTCAGCATTTTCCTCTCCTCCCAAGGAGGTCCCATCCCAGGCTTCAGAGGTCTCAGGTGTAGCCACAAGTGCCTCTCTGACACCTTCAGGCACTTCCTGGTCACCCTCAAGCATCTCCAAGAGGTTCTCGCGTGTCTTGGAGGCACCCTTGCTAGTGGCCTCACCTGGGGAACCATCCTTGCCCACACTGGAGCTCCAGTTCAAGCGAATGCTGGCACAGATGCATGCCCGGGGGAGCCACTGCACACTCTCAGAGATGCTACAGAGCTTCTGCCTGGTGCCGGAGACCCACCCACACTCCTCAATGTCCACCACGCTGCCTATGGAGCCACCTCCGCTAGAGAAGACAGACTGGTCACGGTCACAGATGCTGGACCTGGGCCTCATTGACATGCTCAACTTCTTCTGCATGCAGCAGTGGGCACGGCAGCAGAGCTGGATCTCCGAGGAAGATGAGAACCTTTGCATGCCGCCACCCAGCACTGTGGTGCTGGTGCCCAACACGGTGGCACCACCACCCCGGGAGCATTGGTACGTTGGGCTTGTGCAGGCAGGGCCTTTGGGGATGGCCAGGCCTAGCTGAACCTGCTTCCTCACCTCCCAGGTACTACCCCATCCTCCGGCTGCAAGAGGCCAAGCTCCAGAGGTCTGCAATGAGACTGAGGCGTGAGTAGGGGCAGGGGTGGAGATGGGATCCTGACCTCCACCCCACCCCCACCCTGCCTCCTCATTGTCCTGCCTGCCCCCAGGCCAGATGCCATCC